AATAACTTATTCACTTCTGTTTTCACCAGTTCCTTCATGTTTGGGTTTAGCCTTCTTTGTGGTTGCACGACAGCCTTAAAATCAGACTCCATCAAAATCTTGTGAGTGCAAAAGGAAGGGCTAATCCCTTTTATGTTAGAGATCTTCCATACTATTGCTTTCTTGTATTCCCGAAGTACATTCAGCAGCTGGGCTGTTTGCTCTTGTGTTAAATCTGAAGCAATGATAACCGGTAGCTTGCAACCATCTTCCAAAAAGGCGTACTCCAGATGTTCGGGTAGGACCTTCAATTCTACATCTGGTGATTTATTAGTGGACAAGTTGGGTTGTTTCTCTAAATTCCGCTCCAGAACTTCAAAGTTCCTCCTTCTCAATAAGGGTCCAGTGGATTCTAAATGACACCACTGTTCTCGAGTTAGCATGCTCATGTCATCTTTTCCTTCTTCATGAACTAAGCTCCTTTCCAATGGGTCTAACATCAAGAGTTCCTGTGCACAGTCAGAAACAAAGTCATCAATTACATTAAGGAAGAAACAGGAATCATCTTGTTTTAAGGACTTTTTCATTACTTCAGGAATTTTGAAAGTGACTTTTTCATCCCCCACTCTAAAAATTAACTTTCCATCACTCACATCAATTATGGCTTTCGCAGTAGCTAAAAAAGGGCAACCTAAGATCAAGGGGACATCAGTATCCTCATCCATATCAAGAATTACAAAATCAAGAGGAAAAATAAATTTGTCTACTTTTACAAGCACGTCTTCAATAATACCCCTAGGATATCTAACTGACATATCAGCTAATTGAATACTCATCATAGTTGGCCTAGGTTTTCCCAAACCTAATTTCTTAAAAACAGAATATGGCATCAAATTAATGCTAGCACCTAGATCAACCAAAGCCTTATCAACTATCAATCTACCAATGAGACAAGGAAGAGTAAAACTCCCTGGATCCTTTAATTTTTCAGGCATCTTGTTTTGCAGGATTGTTGAGCATTCTTCATTTAGAGTTATCGTGGCCAATTCCTCCAACTTCTTCTTGTTGGACAATAGATCTTTCAAAAATTTTGTGTATTTGGGCATCTGTGCCAAAGCATCAATAAACGGTAAATTGATATGAAGTTGACAAAATAAGGAAAGAAATTTACCAAATTGTTCATCATCCTTGTCCTTCTTCAATCTTGCTAGGTAGGGGAGTGGAGGTATGAACTCTTTCACAATAGGGGGTTGTTCCATAGTCTCCTCTTGACCTTTATTCTCCTTTTCAACTGCAACTTTCTCTACTTCTTGCTTCCCCTTCTCTTGTAATGTTTTGCCACTTCTTAATGTTACTGCCTTGACCTGCTCCTTAGGATTAGTCTCAGTATTGCTAGGCAAGCTCCCGTGGGGTCATTCTGAGAGAAATCTAGAAATTTGACCCAACTAATTCTCTAGATTATGAATAGAGGCTTGTTGATTTCTTAGTGCTGTCTTGGTGGATTGGAACCGAGATTCTGAAGTTTGAATGAATTTGGTCATCAACTCCTCAAGGTTTGACTTCTTTTCAGCTGGGGGCAGTGATGGATGTGAAGTTTGTTGAAATCCTTGGAGTGTGTTGTTCCGCATTGGCTGTTGGTTGTTGTTCCATGGTGGATTGGCATAATTCTTCCAGCCTGGATTATTCATGCCATTATAATTTTGGTAAGGTGGTCTATTTCCTATCACATTGGCATGCTCTTTTTGAGTAGCTTGGCACTCATGATTAGGGTGGCCTCCTCCGCAAATATCACATCTTATCACCGGAGCAATTGGATGGTTGACAGATAAACCATCAATCTTCTTCCCTAGGGCTTCAACTTGCATTGCCAAGGATGTTACTGCATTAAGACTGTAGATCCCAGCAGATTTTGCAGGTTTGGATCAAGTGGAGCTCCATTGATAGCTGTTCATTGCCATTTCTTCAAACAGTTCTTGTGCAGCCCTTGGTGTCTTGCTATTCAAAGTGCCCCTAGCTGCAGCATATTTCATTTGTCTTATGGCTGGGTTCAACCCATTGTAGAAGGTTTGCACTTGAAGCCAGTTCGGAATCCCATGATGTGGGCACTTCCGCAACAATTCCTTAAACCTCTCTCATGTATCATATAAGGTCTCTGACTCCAATTGGTAAAAGGAGGAGATATCATTCCTCATCTTAGCAGTCTTTACGAGAGGGAAATACTTTGCTAAGAATTTTTCTACCATGTCTTCCCATGAAGTGATAGATCCACGCGGGAGAGAATTCAACCACTATTTTGCTCTGCTCTTGAGAGAGAATGGAAATAGCCTCAAGCGGATTGCATCATCAATATCTCCATTTATCTTCAACGTATCACAGATCTCCAGAAAATTAGCGATGTGAGCGTTGGGGTCTTCATCTTGCAACCCATCAAACTGAACAAACTGCTGAACCATCTAAATAACATTGGGCTTTATTTCAAAATTTTCTTGCACATCCGGACAGACAATGCTATATTTTGTCCCAGTTAATGATGGACGAGCATAATCGGACATGGTCCTTGGTTGCTCTTCATTGTTTGTCATTCCTTCCATGTGGATTTGTGCGTTTTCCCTCTATACTAGCATTCGCCTCTCTTTCTAAATTTTTTGCAAAGTTCTTTTTATCTCTGGGTCAAATTCAGATAGTTCTTCAAACAGTGCAGCAGAACGGGGGGTTCTGATCATACACTAGAAAAATCAGCTCCTAAAAAAAAATGAGAACAAAATAGAAAAGTTAATTCAAGACTAAAGAAATAAAGAATATCAGTAAATGCATAATTAAGGGAATCCTAATTAATCAGTCTCCGGCAACGGCGCCAAAGACTTGGTGTGTAAAAACTGATTACTGGGCAAGTGTACCTGTTGTCAGAGTAATATTATGAAAAATAGAGTACCAAATGTCGTATCCAGAGGGACTGTTATTAAGAATTACTTCCTTAATTGTGCAATTGTTAATGAATATGAAAAATAAGTTTTGTTGATAAAATTGCTAAAAATAAAATAATAATAAATTAAAAGAACAGATATTCTTATGAAAATAAATTATAGGAAAATATGAATAAAGGTATTCAAGGGAAGTAGACGAGTATCTAGACTGTAAATCCTCCTAAGTGTCCAAATAACTAAAATTCTTCTTCAACTACTTAGTTCCAAACCCTTATCGCTACAGGAAATTCTGAATTAAATCAATATCTTTCTCAAGGATAATGATTCCTAACCCTCGATTGATCAATCAGAATCTCTTCCTTAATTAATACCCCTAGGTTGCATTAAGTTCATTATAAATTCCATAATTAGGGTTAATCCTAATACAAAAAACTTATGTCTTTCTATCTCTAGAAATACATTCAAGTCCTTTTAACTGAGCAATGTTAATTTCATGCAGGAATTTTACTCAAATTCAAACAAGAAAACAAGATGGAAGACAATTGATACTACTTAATTAAACCAAAGAGAAAAAAACATGAAATAGCATTAGAAGAATTCCAGAAAATTTGGTCAATTAGGATTCATTACGTCTAGATACTCAAAGGAAAATTAGAACCTAAACATCTTGAAACTAAAATTACAAAAGAGATGAATTAAAGACTTTGAATCCGTTCTCTAGCCATCACCGACCTGTATTTCCCCAGAACTGTCTCCCTAGGTTCCTATGTCAAGCTCCCTTTTATATTAGTCGTCCAAGGGTTTATCTTCGCGCACAATTTGAATTTTTACACACGTTGAAAGTACACGCTCAAGTACACGGCCGTATACTTTGGCCGTGTACATCTCTGATTTCCAACAATGGCCCTTCAAAGCTTTTCTGAAAAGTACACGGTCATGTACTTTGATCGTGTATATCTCTGGTTTAGGTGATACCTTCCAATTGACGCTACCAGTGATATACATGCTCATATACACGGGCGTGTACCTGCCCGTGTATATCTCTGATTTCTTTCTTCCTTCAATTCTCAACATCGTTTAAAGCTTTCACTTCTCAATCCTTTTCCTGAAATATGAATAAAAATGAACTTAATAATAGTAAATTCTCTCAATGAATAGTTCAAAAGTCTCAATTATCATTCATGAATTATAATGTAGGACCAAGTATAGAAATCATTTATCAAGCCTTGTGCCATATACTATGAAATATTGAGAATGGGGTAGGTAGCCGCCGGTATCTAATAAAGAATGGGACGGGTTGCCGCCGGTATACAATAATGTGAATGGGGCGGGTTGCTGCCGGTATACAATAATATAAATGGGGCAGGTAGCCACCGGTATCTAATAAAAAATGGGGCGGGTTGCCGTCGGTACACAATAATGTGAATGGGGTGGGTAGCCGCTGGTGTACAACAATGTGAATGGGGCGAGTAATCGCCGGTACGAAATACTGTGATGGGGCGTGCCAACGCCGGTGTAATATGTTGTAAGTTATGAACATGAAATGTTGTGGGCGCCATAAGTGCACCGATGTTTAGTTGAAATGAAATTGTATTGAAATGTTGCTTGTGAGTATATTTTCATATATCTATCTAAGTATATTTAAAGTAGTTTGAAGGTGAGACTCTATAGTTGACTGTGTATTTTGGTAGTGTAAAGTACTCACCCTTACATTCATTTTTCAGGTAATCAAGACGATCATCATCGGACTCAGTGAAGGGATGGATGAACTGCTATAGGGCTTAGGATTATTTAATTGGAAATTGTTGTATTTGAACTAGCCCTGTGGCAATTGTTTGATATGAACTTGTAACCCTTCCTCATTTTTGAAATATTTTATGAAATTTATTTTTTGAGTTTGCGAAATTGTTATTTATTTGAAATTAAAGTTAAGGTGTTACAATTTGGTATCAGAGCAGTTCATCCAACCGAACTGGGGTATCGGGCTGAGACGTCCAAGGTTAAGTGTTGATTGTTTTGTTTACCTGAATTATAAACGTATTATTAATCTGATATGTTGAGATGTGACTGTTAAATTGTGATTAGCTAAGCTTAATCATGTCTAGTAGAGGTCGAGGTAGAGGTAGAGAAGCTAGAGGCTCCGATGACCTCATAGAACGTATGGCCCAACTCCTGGAGGCCATGGTGCATAACCAGGGCGGAGAGCTGGCTAAGTACCAAGGATTGTCTGCCTTTACTAGACACAATCCTCTGAAGTTTGAGGGAGGATTCAATCCCAAGGGAGCCCAAAGGTGGGTGGCTAATGTAGAGAAGATCTTCAATGCCATGGGGTGCCATGAGGAGTACAAGGTGGTGTATGCCACTTACTTACTGTGTGGTGAGGCAGAAGACTGGTGGAGGTTTGTCAGTAGAAATTGCCGCAAGAAGGTGGCTACATTCAGTGGGAGACCTTCAAGGCCATTTTTCTAGGGAATTACTTTTCCTGAGACCTGAGAAAGCAGAAGGCTAGAGAGTTCCTTGAGCTGAAGCAAGGAAACATGAATGTGGGGGAGTATGCTGCAAGATTCCAAGGACTGATGAAGTACTGTCCTCATTTCTAGCATGGTGATAGGGAGGAAGAGCCGTGTTCTCAGTTTGAGAACGGATTGAGGCCAGACATTTGAGCCACGGTCAGTGTGTTCCAACTGATGGACTTGCCCCACCCTGGTGAGTAAGAGCATAATCTTTGAAGCGAACACGAGGGGGAAGACGGTCGATACTAGGGGAGCTGGCCCATTGAGACATGATAGGAGACCCCCGAGGTTCTCAAAGGGGTCATATTCGAGTTTGAACAGTTCTCAATCCCGAGGGAGTTCTTCCCAAGAAAAGAGCAATGGGAGTGGCTCGAGATCAGGGTCTTTCAGAGGACCGCTGAAATGCTTCAGGTGTGGAGGGCCACACATAGTGAAGGACTGCCCACAACCGAAGATAACTTGCCACAACTGTGGGAAATTAGGGCACACTACTAATGTGTGCTGGGCCGCCAGAAGAAGCAGTAGTGCAAGTGCAATCCAGAGGCCTAAATCAAGAGGAAGTGCAGGGCCGAGTACGGGGCAGAATTCGAGTATTCCTGGGAGAGTCTTTGCTATGAATGGAGCAGAGGCTTCACAATCTGAGGAACTGATCCGAGGTAAATGTATAATTAAAGGCAGACTGCTTGATGTGTTGTTTGACTCGGGTGCTACACACTCTTTTGTGTCTGTGGACTGTGTGAAGAGTCTGGGTCTGTATGTGGTCGAACTGCCATGTAATGTTGTGGTGACTACCCCTACAGGTAAGCCAGTTGTAACGTCATGGATGTGTCTGGGGTGCCCGATAATGGTACATGGCAAGGAGTTTGAGGTAAACTTGATCTGTCTACCTCTTTCTCAACTGGATGTGATTCTGGGAATGGATTGACTTGCTGCCAACTATGTGTTGCTGGACTGTAGTGAAAAGACTTTGATCTTCAGACTGAACGAACCATTCAGTCTCTGAAGGACTTGCTGAGGGCCTGTGTGCTCGAGTAGCAAGGAACTTAGGAAAAGTGCCTGCCACTAGTAGAGTTCATGTACAGCAATAGTCATCATGCTAGTATTGGAATGACACCGTTTGAGGCCTTGTATGGTTGGAGGTGCAGAACTCCGTTGTGTTGGTATAAATTGGAGAGACGTCTTTATGTGTGCCGGATATGGTCCAACAGCAAAATGAGCAAATCAAAATGATCAAAAAGAAAATGAAAGTTGTCCAGGATCGACAAAAGAGTTATTATGATAGGAGGCGGAAGCCGTTGAAGTTTCAGGTGGGCGATCATGTGTTTCTGAAGGTTTCACCTGTGATCAGAGTGGGGAGAGCTCTGAAATCCTGAAAGCTATCTCCTAAGTTCATTGGGCCATTCGAAGTGCTGAGTAGAATTGGTCCTACAACATACCGGATTGCGCTGCCTCTGAATCTCTCAAATCTACATCCAGTGTTCCATGTGTCACAGCTTAGGCAATATGTGCCGGATCATTCCCATGTGATTGATCTTGACCCAGTCCAAGTGAGAGAAGACTTGTCATATGACGTGTACCCGGTGAGAATTGCTTATCGCTGCGTTAAACAGATTAGGGGCAAAGAGATCTCATTGGTGAAGGTAATATGGAACTCAAGTGATAAGGGCGATGCCACATAGGAAATGGAGAGTAGAATAAGGAAATTGTATCTGGGGTTGTTTTTGTAATTGAGTAAGTTTGGTTGAATTTTGGGGACGAAGTTCTTTAAAGGTGGGGAGAGTTGTAATGCCCCAAATTTTGATAATATTAATCATTATTGTTGATGTATATATATATATATGTGTGTGTGTGTGTGTGTGTGAATATTTATATGAGAATGACTGAACTGGGCTGGAAAGAATAGGCTAAGTAGCTGGTGCAGAGTGTTCTCGCTGCAGCGAGAGGATTCTCGTTGTAGCAAGAGGTGTCTTGCTGTGGCGCGAGAGCAAAAGTGGGGACTGCATTTTTGGGTGCAGACTTGCTGTAGCGAGATTCTACAGAAATCAGAATGCAGTTTTGTCTGAGATTTTCATTGTGGCGACAGAGAGTGTCGCTGCAGCGAGAGAACGTCATTGTAGCGAGAGTGTCACGATCTAAAGGGTTTAAAAAAGGGGTTTATGGATTTGAGAGTTATTTCTCAAATTCTCCCCTAGATCCCTTCAATTCTCTCGACCCCAAACCCCTTTCTCATCGATTAATTGCCTCCAAAGCCGTTCGTGAACGAGATTGGAGCTCGGATTTGTGTGGAGAACGCTTGGAGGTGAGCCCTTTCTCTGTTTTTGGGATGATTTCTAGGTTCTCAAGGTAGGGGGCCTCTACCCTACTCTTTTGTGTGTGATTTGTTGTTATTTTGCCGAATATTGTGTTGTAGTTGAATTAGAGAATAAAAAATTGCTGAGGAATGTAATGTCGACCATGTGTCGTGATACGTGAATATTTTGTGTGTTTACCAAAAATCAAGAAATAAGAATTCTATGTAAATGTTGTGTGATAGAATGTGGGCTTGTATGCCAAATATTGTGAATGGGTATGGGCACTTGTGTCGTATGTTTCGAATGAATAATGTGAAGCAATGTGGGCCAAGGACAGTGTGATACAATAAATATGAACTATGTGCTGAATAGTATGGAAGTAGGCTAGGTGCCGTGTTTTATAAAGGAAAGTGGGCCTCGTGCCGTGTATTATGAAATATTGAGAATGGGGTGGGTAGCCGCCGGTATCTAATAAAGAATGGGGCAGGTTGCCACTGGTACACAATAATGTGAATGGGGCGTGTAGCCTCCGGTGTACAACAATGTGAATGGGGCGTGCTAACGCCGGTGTAATATGCTGTTCACATGAAATGTTATAGGTGCCATAAGTGCACTGATGTTTAGTTGAAATGAACTTGTACTGGAATGTTGCTTGTGAGTATATTTTCATATACCTATCTAAGTGTATTTAAAGTAGTTTGAAGGTGAGACTCTATAGTTGACTGTGTATTTTGGTAGTGTAGAGTACTCATCCTTACATTCATTTTTCAGGTAATCAAGACGATCAGCATCGAACTCAGTGAAGGGACGGATGAACTGCTATAGGGCTTAGGATTATTTAATTGGAAATTATTGTATTTGAACTAGCCATGTGGCAGTTGTTTGATATGAACTTGTAACCCTTCCTCATTTTTGAAATATTTTATGAAATTTATTATTTGAGTTTGCGAAATTGTTATTTATTTGAAATTAAAGTTAAGGTGTTACACAAACCAATCTTTCTCTTCCAATTGTTATTAAAATAATAAGTTCATAGGTGTTCAATGTGTGCTTTAATTGATATATTGCATGACCATTGTAGATGTCAATATAGAGATAAGAGTATTAATATTACGTGACCATTGGATATTAATAGTATTTGTATGAATGATTGGTAATTAAAAGGAAAATGAATTTAGAGTTAGACAGAATAATAACATAAAGGATCAAATAAGTAAACTCGTGCATCCTAGGTTTCTCTCTTACAAGTTCAACTAAGATGTGTGTTGTGTTACTTGCTCTCAATTTCATTGAATTGATTCTTGATTTACTTAATTTCGCATCCTTTAAGTTTAAACAATTGAACTTGAAAAATCATAATAATTGGAAACAATCATTGTGGGATGATAATTTGAGAACTTAATTTAGAAATTATTTATTACTTTTTGACGGGTACACTTGTCCACGAATAGGTGTTCAACACCATTGTCGGGGATTTCTTTTTCTAATATTAAGAAATTATTATATTTGGATGATTTGATTCTTATTTTACTTTATTTCAATTTTTATTTTGTTATTGCAATTCTTTTTTCTTTTATTTATTTTGTTAGTGTATGCTCACTCTTCTAAGTTTTCTGCAGCTCAATTGTTTGATCCGGAGATTGAAAGAACTATGCAAAGACAAAAAAAAAATAGTTGAGAGAGCAAAGGATGACTTAAGAAAGAAGAGCCATTCAAGATTACATGACACCCATCATTAGAGATGTCCCTTGAAGTATTGTGGCCCTTAACATAGAGGCCAATAACTTTGAGTTGAAACCGGCATTGATAACCATGTGAAAGAATTGAAAGAATTCATAAAATAGAAAGAGATAAGAAACTTAACTGTAAATGTAATTCTATATTCCTGAAAGATGAGAATGTACAAGATTTATAGGGTTTATGGGTAGGGTTGTTGTGCTAACTTACATGCAATCAATTTTAATCTAATAACCTACATAACTCACCATGCACAACCCATTTGAAAACAAGTTTGCACAGATTCAAGCTGGGTTGGCCCTTTCGACTACTATTTTTTTAAAAAAAATTATGATTGCATTGGACCTATTAGAAATTTAGAAGAAAGTAGAAACCCTATTTTTGCTATCCCTTAACCTCAAATCTTTGCTACTAGCCACCACATAACAACACCTGTCCCTCGACCTCTTCAAATCACCACTACAATAATCTCCCATTGGCCACCATGGCACCACCACACCACACAGTGTGCCTCATATACACCTCATTTATGATCTGTGTCCACTCACTCTCTCTTGGCCTCTTCAAATCACTGTAGCAACCTCCCACTGATCACCACAGCATCACTGCACCATACAGCGGTGCCTCACCCTTTCTTAACTAGCTAGTGTCAACCTCTAGCTCTCTCTCCGCTTCTTCACTTTGGTACACAAATACCTCTTTCATTCTCTCATTTCTAATTTGATCTATGTCCACGTACTACACCTACATGTTCCCTTCAATACTAAATTCTTTTTTATTGTTGTCCAACTTGTGCCATTTTTGTTGCTAGAGGGAAAACAATAATACATTTAAACAATAATACACTAAAGTATTGAAAAAGCAAAATGTATGACTGCAGAAATGAGTATAAATGTGGAGGTAAAAAGTATGGGACATTACATTTAAATTGCCATGTTACAATGTGTGAGGAGATTAAATTTGAAGGTGTTGGTCAAATGATGGTAAATGTGCAAGGAAAACTAAAATCTTGTTAGGAGGATTAAATGATATCTCATGATATGTTGGCAGTTACAATCATTGAATATGGTTTGACTTTTAATGTTGTTGAGCTTAAGAAGATTATGACCTGGATGCAGTATGTGAATCCAGATTTAAATCTTATTTCTCATAATATTATTAGATCTGATGTATTGGAAGTGTACATGAAATAGAAGGAGAAACTTAAACAAAAGATGTGTATGATTCCTTTAAGAATATCTTTAACTTCTTATTTATGGGTTGCTTGTACTACTAAGAGTTACATATGTTTGACTGTTCATTTTGTTAACTCAAATTGAAAATTAAAAAGTAAAATTATTAATATTTGTCATATACTTCCTCCCACGTTGGATTTGAGTTGTCTAAAATCATACATGAATTTTTAATTGATCAAGGGACAGAGAAGAAAATATTTTCTCTTACTTTAGACAATTCATTTGGTAATGATGTTGTGCAACAACATTTGAAAAGTCAAATAACCTTACAAAAGTTGTTATGTGATGGAGTTCTTTCATATGTGATGTTTTTTGCACACATTTTAAGATTAATTATTCAAGAAGGGTTGAAGGTTGCTAGTGATGCCTTACACAAGATTAGAGAAAGTATAAAATATGTGAAAGGTTCAGAGAATAGAATGAAAAAACTTAATTATTACATTGATCGAGTTGGAGGTATGTAGCAATTATTTGGGTAGCTGTGGTATGGAGTATTTGGTTACATAGAAATAATATTGCCTTTAATAATAGTGTGTTAGATGTTGGGGAGATTATAGATGCTATCAAATATATGTCCTCAAAAATAGTTGTCAGCAGGTATGAATTAGGAGCAACTAGTATATATAAATTGGTTAAACAAGCCATTGATGTGTATTAAGCAATTGCTTTAACTTTGTGTATGGGTTGGTGTATCCCATTTTCTCCTTTTTCTTAATAATATATTTTTGCTTATAAAAAAAATCTAAACATAATAGAGCATTACAAATTTAAGTATTTAATATTTTATGATCTCTATTTTTAAAAAAATTAAAATACTTTTTAATTATATTTTATTTAAATTATTTGAGTATTTACTTATTTAATTACAATATATGTTTTAAAATTTTAAAGACAAAGTAAAAAAAATTAATAAATTATAAATATATTTAAAATGTTGTGATCCTTGATTAAAAAATACTACATTATTTCTATATTTTTTAACGGTTTTATTTATTTTGATTAAAACAAAAATAATAAATTTAAATAACAACATAAAAAGCACAGCAATTATATATGTATGGTTAATTTTTTTACATCATTTTTATATTAGTAAACTTTATAAATTTATTTTTTTTTAAACTATATTAATTTCATATTTAAAACAAAAATACAAAATTCAAGAAAGTTTATAACAAATTAATACCTTATATACTTCACTCAATTATATAATCCTTTCTACATTTTTTAAATTTTTAAATATTTTTAAAAACACAATAACTATTTAATATTTAAATAAAAACTAAAAATATTTATTACATAATATAATAGATTACTACCCTTGTATGCTTGATTATATTATTTACATAATTTCTACATTTTTTTCGTTTGAATTTTATTTTTAATAACACTTTAATAATTTATTATTTAATTAAAAAC